AGGACACTAAGTTTAAAGTTTTCTTTTAGTGTGTCAAAACCCTGTCCCTGCCTTTATAGATAAAGTGGTCATGTATCTAAAGAATAGAAGTTGCCAGAAAGGGAATGAGGGTGTGGGGAATAGAAGTTGTCATGTCCTCGACTCCAAAAAGAATAGTAGTAGTTATGCATCACATGGCATGAATCACAGATCAATAGAACTAACTATCAGATACAAATTTCTGTTCTCTTTCCAGTGATGAAATTTCATATAGTTGCTTTGATTTCCTTCTATTCGTTTCAATTGCCATTTCTGCTACTGCAGATTCATGTTTCAAGGGATTTGTCTCCCATATTTTTATCTCTTATATAAATTAGTTTCTCTTTTGACAGTCGAGGACATAATTCTTCTTAAGAATGCTCTAATAATGTAACTTGTACACTTTAGGTAAATCCAATCAAATATAACAAGATGGCTTCAGGGTTTTCTATTCTTTGGAAAGAACAAGGCCCTTCTTCTCTTTGGAGAGGTTGGTCTGGGAAACTTTTCGGATATGGTGTTCAAGGGGGCTGCAGATTTGGTCTCTACGAATACTTTAAGAAGCTTTACTCTGATGTATTGAAAGATCATAACAGGAGTACCATATTCTTTCTCAGCAGTGCATCCGCTCAAGTATTTGCTGATGTGGCTCTCTGTCCTTTTGAAGCCGTCAAAGTCCGAGTTCAAACACAGCCTTACTTTTCAAAGGGCTTGGTTGATGGGTTTCCAAAACTATATGCAACCGAAGGGCTAGCTGGGTAAGTTACCCAAATTTTTTTTTATCATTCTTCTCCTTTTAATTTCTCAATCCTTATCAGCTTATCTGCACTGCAGCTTTTACAAAGGACTTTTTCCACTTTGGGGTCGAAATCTTCCATGTAATATCTCTATCTCTGCATTTTTAAAATTTTCATTTGCTTGCTTGGTAGGATCCATGGCTATGAATTAAAAAATATATTGGGTGGTTTGTCACATTAGAATTTCAAGGGTGTGGTATGCTGTCCTGTTTTTGCCAGCATAGTGAACAGATAATGCAGTTTTGAGGTTCATGTCATCTCCCACTTCAATAGTGGATTAGTTTCACTGTAAAATCCTATAGTGATGTCTGTCAAATAGTTGTTTAAATCATGGTGGTTTTTGGATATATCAACATTGCTAGAGCTGCATTGTTGCTAGCATGTAGTACTGTGGTTATTTCCTAGTAGAATCGTTCACTTCTTTTGTATCTTCTATTGCTTGTTGATTATCCTGTGAGATTTTGCATACAGAACCTTGCATTTTTTATTTTTTTTAATTCCACCAAATAATCGTACTTAGTAATATAGGAATGTGAGCAAAAGGCTACTTGATATCACACATTGCTATTTGTTTAATTATGTTTTTCCCCTCACACAAAACCCCAAGGTGATCATTTGCCCTTGACCAAACCTTCCTACTCTATTTGTACTCATTTTGGTTAAGTGCTATGATCGGAAATGTGAAATCAGGAATGGTCCTGCATCTGTTCAGAACAGGAAAACATGAGGTTTTTGGCAGTTACCTTTGAGAATGAAAATTATGCCCTGTGGTTGCGTAGAGTAGCATAATGTGTATGGTCATTATCAAGGTGCTACTTGTGTCGTGTCCTACCCAAGGATCAGCTACATGCTTTCTGGCATTTATCATGAGAACGTTGCTATCTGTTCTCAGTTATCATCATCAAGCACTCAGTAGAGACTGAAGATTAGCATGTGCTGTGAATTTGATACAAATATTTATTAACTTTTTTGATGTGAATACTGTTCTTCACAGTCTCAATGATAATGTTCACGACATTTGAGCACTCAGTGGATCTGATTTATCACAAAGTTATGCAAAGAAGAAAAGAAGATTGCTCAAGAGCCCAACAGCTTGGTGTGACATGTTTAGCGGCCTATGCTGCAGGAGCTGTTGGTACTGTTATTTCTAACCCTGCAGACAACATTGTTTCCTCTCTATACAACAAAAAGGCTGACAATGTGATGCAGGTAGCCCTTTGAACTAAGCTTTTCTTTGGTTTATTTCTAGTAATTGAAGGAAAAAGCATCAATTGCGTTGGCTTTATATCTTATCTCCAGGCTGTGAGGAACATCGGGCTCGTTAATCTATTTACTAGAAGTCTTCCTGTTCGGATTACACTTGTCGGACCTGTTGTTACCTTGCAGTGGTTTTTCTATGACACCATTAAAGTTCTATGTGGATTGTAAGTGCATTTCACTTGATACAGACACAACAGCATATTTCCTTTCCTCATTTCATCTAATTATAAATTCCATTTGAAAAAATTTCAGGCCTTCCAGTGGAGGGCTTACCAGGCGTCTTGAAGAAGCTAACCTATCAGCTTAAGATCATTAGATTAGATAAAGAACAATTCAATAGGATCACTGTCTTTGAGGATGAGATAGTCACTCCTTGGGGCCAGCAATTACTACAACTTTGATCCTTCGTTATGTCATGGTTCATTTGCGGTATAGGTGGCATTTTGAGTTGAGAGTTTTGTCGTATCCGGGGTTTATTAATTTATATCCATAATATTTGAAGGTCATGCAGTCTAGCTTCATGATACTCTATGATTTTGGGTACATAAGATGAGATGTAAATAGCTTCTGCATGCTTAATGCTTTATGTTAAAGTGCAGCAGCAGCAGCAGCAGTTATAAAATGTGATCCTGCTTTGAAAGACATTTTGTATACTTGAAAAGAAGTGTAATTTGTGGCAATAGGTTTCGTGGAACCTATAAAGTAAATTGCCAATTACACTTTGTCGAACCTTTCTTGGGTGCAAGGCAAGTGCTATGTGGTCGTGAGTCTTTTGGCTAAAAAGTCTACCAACTAGCGTGGTCCGATATTTGAGGGCCAAAATCGAATGCTTTTCGGTAAAAATTAAAACTTAAAAATTAAAAAGAAAAGTATGCCTTTGCTTTTTCTCTTTCTCTTTTTTTTTCTTTTTTTTTTCCCTCCGATGTGAGTTATATTAGAGGAAAGAAACTCCATTGGAGTTCGATTTTCCTAGGTGCAATGAGGGAGTGGGAATCCACCGAAGTGTGCATTTGCTTTGAATTAAGCTTTCTACAGTTTCGATAAAATAAAATAAAAAGCTTTCCACAGTAAATTGAGATTGTGGATTCTGACGTATGTGACCTTTAGAAAAATCAATGTTTATGTTGAAAAAGTATGTGAGAGAGTATAAAATGATTTGGATAAACCAATGTTTATAAAAAATCATTTAAAATCATTTAAAGTGATTTTCTCCTCATAATTGCTTAAAATTACATAAAATAATTATATAAAAAAGCACGTGAGATGTGTTTTTTCTTATAAATAATTATAGCTCTTCCAAACGAGCCATACATTAACGGTCTATAATTACTCACTCTCTAACGGGAAACTAATACCAGCATGCTAGTACTGTTACATGTGAATGCATTAATAGTTCAGAGTCATCCACTCGATCGTTGAAGACTGGTGTTAGTATAATCCTAATAGGATTTTGGCTCCTCAGCATAAGTTAGATGGAATGTCAAGGTCATGCACACGAGGCAGCTAAGTCAAAGACTCATATGGCTGCTAGGCTTAATATATAGACAGTCCGCGAAGCGATTTTTCCCTTTTCATCCTTTCTGGTTGTAGTGAGTTGACTACAAATTGGCTGTGCAAATTTGGAGTGACCCTCTAACGATTTGAATTGGTCAAGCACATCTGGCACTTATCCATTTGGCTGGATTATCGTGTGGACCACCCCCCCTAATTAACTGGTTTTGGATTTCACTTGGCAGCCAACAAAAGAAAAAAGAAAACTACCCTTCATACATAATAGTAACTTTTTTTGTTTGGGAATGGTTGTTTTTACCTTTCCTTTTTTATTATGGGTCAGAATTGACTGTTGCTGACCCATAAATGAATGGCAAGCATACCAACTTTTCTGTGGAGGAACTGTTAAAAGGGCAAATTTGTACCAAATCTATCCATATTTATCCATCAAAATGGAAGTTTTTAAACCTCTTTATTAAGCTCTTATCTAACATGTAGAATAATAGTTTAATTCCCTTCCTCTCTTGATCAGGCTCTAAACCTCCTTTTAATCATAATATAAAGAAAAAAATGATGTTTATTTGTAAGTAAAAGAATAATGAATTGGTAGAATTTGGCCTTACACAACACACAAAAGGAATGGTGCCATCAGTTTATTTGTACATATAATGATTGCAAAATTGTCTGCACAAACATACCTATATTACTGTTTTCTGTTATGAAACTAGGCTATAATCTACAAAAAGATTTGCACAGATCATTTTATTTACTTTTCTTCCCCTCCTTCATTGTTTTACTATTTTCTTTTTCCAGTTGATACAAGCGATACTGAAAAAGAGAGGAGGTGTCTAACTTAGGATCTCGATTATAAGATAAATGCTCAATTGAGCAACAAGACCCTTTGCCGTCTGAATTTTAATTTAAATGCAACCGTTGTATTGAATATGTGCGTCAATCTACTACTCACATAATGTTAGAAACTGTAAAGACATGTGTTGCATGCAACTAGTGAATGCAAGTTTTGCCAATTTAACTTGTGATGCAGTTTGGAGAATCAAACAGCGCCTCTGACACAAAAAATTGTGTCTCTAAATTTAGCTGCCAGAAAAACCAGCTCGAACATTTTGACCAAACAAACCTCCCTACACACCCACCGCCATTCACCGCCACGTGTCATCCACGCACCAATCACACTCACATCGCAACACCCCATTCTCGGAACCAACCCGACCCATAATCTCGGAACTCGCCTTTTTCACCGCGGCTCTACTGGCAGGTCAACATGGTAACTTTAACTTCTTCTTTTTTTTAACCTCCTTCCCCCAGTTCCAAGAATGCCGTGTGCTCCTTTTATTTTCCTTGTTCAGACAAAAATAAATCACAAAAGATTAAAATAAATAAATGGAAAATTATTGGATGACATGAAGGCCATTAAAAAAAGACGCGTTTTAAAATAGCTGGTATATGGTTTTTATTTAATTAATTGCAAAAATTAAAATAAAAGTGAAGAGAGGAGAGAGAGGGAGTGAGAGAGAGGGGAAGGTTAGAACTTGAGATGAGAATAGCTGGTCAGCACTCACCTCCGATGTTTCCCAGCAACACCATCCCAAAATAACAACAATCCAAAACAGCCCCTAATTAACAAAAATATAATTTTGGAAGAAACCCATTTTTTCAAAATCATTATAGCTGTAAAGATTATTCCAATCTCAAAGCCTTTTGTTGATTTTGACTCAAAATCAAATCTTCATAAGCACCTTGTTCTTCTCCCACCTTGTGTTTAATTCGTTCACACTCCCGTCGTTTCAAGTTTTTCAACTGGTAAAGGCCCCATCTTTCTCTCTCTTTCTCTAAAAAATGTATTTGCTTTCTTGCTTTCTATCTGTCTTTCTGTGTGTGGATATCTGAATCTTGGTCTTTTTGGTTTTCTGGTTGCTGGGTTGTTTTATTTCTGTTTAAAGATTTGATCTTTGTGGTTAATTGGTAAGCTTTTGTTGCAATAATCGTATGTATGATATGGATTTATATCATGGAAAAACTAGAGAAAAAGAAAAGGGTCTTTCTTGGGTTGCATGGAAAATTCAATTTCAATGCTTTGCTTGCTTTCTTTTTCATGGTTAATGGATTCATATATGTGGAGCCCATAGGTCTGATCTGCTTATTATGATGAACTTTTCTTGGATTTGTTAGCCATGCTTATTGCTTATTTTAACTTTGACTGAATGTGTTATGTACTATTTGCATGCTTCCAGAGCGAATTGATGAGAAACCAATTGGGTGTGGGAAAGTCTGTGAAAAAGTCTTGAGGGGATTTGTGATTGTTTCATGGGCAACACATGCCGTGGATCTTTCAGGGGGAAATATTTTCAGGGCTACAGCCAGCCCGAAGACCAATCTGCTTCCATTTCCAAGCCCAACACCTCTTCTGACCATTCGACTTCTGACCACTCCCCATCCAGCTTGAAATCTCAGCACAACGTTCCCCAAGAATTCTCCAAAGTCAGCCCCAAAACCAAAAACAACCATAACAATAGTAATCCACCCATCATTAGTCCCAGGAAAGACAACACCATGAGGAGATGCATTGATAACCAAAGCTATTATGTGTTGGGTCATAAGACTGCCAACATTCGTGATCTTTACACGTTGGGTCATAAGTTAGGACAGGGACAATTTGGGACTACTTATTTATGCACCGAGATTGCTACGGGCAATCAGTATGCATGCAAGTCTATCTCCAAGAGGAAGTTGATCTCAAAGGAGGATGTGGACGATGTGAGGAGGGAGATTCAGATAATGCACCATTTGGCTGGTCACAAGAATATTGTGACAATCAAGGGTGCCTACGAGGATTCACTGTACGTTCATATTGTGATGGAGCTTTGTGCTGGCGGTGAGTTGTTTGACCGCATCATCCAGAGGGGACATTACAGTGAGAGGAGGGCAGCTGAGTTGACAAGGATTATTGTTGGGGTTGTTGAAGCTTGCCATTCACTTGGTGTCATGCATAGAGATCTAAAGCCCGAGAACTTCTTGTTAGTTAACAAGGACGATGACTTCTCTCTCAAAGCCATTGATTTTGGACTCTCAGTTTTCTTCAAACCAGGTAAACAAGGAAAAATAAATGTGGTTTCCTTTTTGAATTTTTATTTATGATGATCTGGAGCATAGTAAATAACTAGTGCACTTCAATAGTATAATTTTAATAGTAAAATGGAACATCTTATGTTAGGGAATTTGATTTTCTACACTTGTATTTAATTTATGGGTTATATCAAGTTCGTGTGCATTTGAGTACTTAAACATATGTAGTGTGTATATAGTAATAAGTTCTCTTAACTTCTGTTCTGAATTTATTGGTACTGTTTCTAGATAATAATTGAAAAGCTGGAATGCATTGCAGTGTCACTGTTGTGTCTCTTTAACTCTTTCAACTGTCTTTCAGGTCAAGTTTTCACTGATGTGGTTGGAAGCCCATATTATGTTGCTCCGGAGGTACTCCTCAAGCATTATGGACCAGAAGCAGATGTGTGGACTGCAGGCGTTATTCTGTATATTTTGCTAAGTGGTGTGCCACCATTTTGGGCAGGTAATGGTGGTTTGGTATTTAGTGTGAAACAGAGGTTACTTCATGTTTTCTATTACTGAAAAGTTTTACTTGTTTGGTGTACAGAAACTCAGCAGGGGATATTTGATGCGGTCTTGAAGGGATATATTGACTTCGAGTCAGAGCCATGGCCCTTAATATCTGACAGCGCAAAAGACCTAATCCGGAAAATGCTCTGTTCTCAGCCTTCGGATCGCTTGACTGCTCATGAAGTGCTATGTACGTTTAAACCTTATTTTAGTGCAATAATGTGCATGGTTTAATGTGACCAGAATAGGAAGTTTATTTGTTGTTGGTTGTTCTCCTTTTCTTTTCGTTGGATGGATCATGTCATTATTACTACATGCACAATATTTGCTGCTAACGACATTATGCTAAAAATTTGCTGGATAAAACTTCAGGCCCTTTTAAGTTGAACTTAGCGCATTCAATGTCTAAAGAGAATCAGCTATGTTTTCTTGAGAAAAAATTTGGCTAAAAAGGAATAAACTTTAGAAGGCTGCCTGGATTTAACCATTTAAAGTATATGATGTGGGAGATGTTCCTTTCTTTTTGACTAACACCTATTGCTTAGCTTTCCTTGTTAGTGTGAGCTTTTTCAAATTTTAAGAAATGAAGATTTAGAAAGACCGTTGAAGTGTTATTCATCATAATTGCCCAGTGTAAATTGCACACTTTTGCTACTCTCAAGCTTTCAAGTGACGTATTTTCGTTTTCAGGTCACCCTTGGATTTGTGAAAATGGGGTTGCTCCTGATAGAGCACTAGATCCAGCTGTACTTTCTCGTCTCAAACAGTTTTCTGCTATGAACAAGTTAAAGAAGATGGCTTTACGGGTAAGTGCATGCAGGAGACTGAAACATATTGTTACGCATTTTGTGTCAGTTTTGGTATTTCTTAGATTCTTTGCTCATGCAGTTTTTGGCTTGGTATTTGGAACACGCATTTATAGTTCACGCATGGTCCCTCAAATCTCAGGGCCCACTTTATAGTTCCTGTTGACTTTTGGGTTGGCATGCCCTTTAACTGGGCTAGATGGTAGAACTTATTCTCAAGATTTCTAATGTATTATCAGGTAATAGCTGAAAGCCTTTCTGAGGAGGAGATTGCTGGGCTGAGAGAGATGTTCAAGGCAATGGATACTGATAATAGTGGTGCTATCACATTTGATGAACTCAAAGCTGGCTTGCGAAGATACGGCTCTACCATGAAGGATACAGAGATACGTGATCTTATGGATGCAGTAAGATGCTTGTTTCCAAATAGATTGTTTTATAGGCTTACAGACATGTCTAATTCTCAATCTTGTTGTTAATGTGCCAAATTCATTATCTTTGACTTTGTTTATGTTTCAAAAAACTAAGCTGTTTTACTTCTTTCCAGGCTGATGTTGACAACAGTGGGACTATTGATTATGGGGAATTCATAGCTGCTACAGTTCATCTTAACAAACTAGAACGTGAAGAACACTTGGTTGCAGCCTTTCGATACTTTGATAAGGATGGAAGTGGTTATATTACAGTTGATGAGCTCCAGCAAGCTTGTGCAGAACATCACATGACTGACGTTCTTCTTGAAGATATTATAAGAGAAGTTGATCAAGATAATGTAAGTCATTAAAATTTCATGAGGAAAGTGCATATTTCTGCTTTATCAAATAGTTGTCCAGAGTGTTTGATTTCTATTCTCGCATGCATGCAGGATGTTAAACTAAATGTTACTTAAACTAATTGTCTGCTTTGTGGAAATAGTTTAATGGAGAATTATGTTTTGTACCATCTATTTTAAGATTTAGGCTTCTTGCTATAAATGTTACTCAAGCTTCAATTCTCGCATGCATGCAGGATGGAAGAATTGACTACGGTGAGTTCGTCGCCATGATGCAAAAGGGCAATGTGAAAGGCAATATGCCGATTGGAAGACGGACTATGAGGAACAGTCTAAATTTGAGCATGAGAGATGCACCAGGAGCTCTTTAGCTTCCAACTAAGCACGTCAGCTTTATGTAAAGGTATCATTTTCTGCATTTTTGTTTTCTCATTTATCTGTTCCACTTCTAAGATATCAGAAGAATTTCAAAAGATTCTTCTCATGTTTCCAGATAACCATTGTAAGGAATGTTATTGGTCTTTTAGCCTATGTGGGAGACTTTTAGACTATTTGTAAGTAATCTTACTTGGTTTTGGCAGGTTGTACAGCAAAGTCAGAAGAGGAGATTTGGTGGGAGAAGTTTGAGAAGCAAATTTTAATTCCTCAACTCCAGTAGATTTCAATAGGCCCCAGAAGATTTGAGTTGTGGAGATCCTGTTTTCATTTTTGTGTAGTGAAGCCTTTATGTTGCTGTATGACCACAGAACATGTTGTAAGCTTTGTTGACTCCAGAGTGGGAAGTGTTACAACTATTCAAAGATGCTAATTTCTTTTTGGGTGTTTTCCTTTAAAAGATGTTTTGTTGGTGTCATATGATTGTTGTGAAGGCAAATAACTCCAGGCTCCATCCGCCACATGATAAAGCGAAACAGAAAGGAAAAAAAGAAATTACAGCCTTTTTTCTTAATCAAATAAATTACAGCCTTTTAAACACTGAGAAATAATTGTAATCTTTTTGCTTTACTAACAATTCATTAACCCTAATTTTATGATGCCCTCATCGGGCTTTTAAAGAAAATGCCAATACCCAACGGGGTCTAGTTTAATGAAAAAAGGTCTATACTTGCAGATCAAAGATCTCAGGTTCGAATTCCCACGGCATCATAGTTAAATACCAATACCTAACGGGGTCTAGTTTAATGAAAAAAAGCCTTTACTTGCATATCAGAGATCTCAGGTTCGAATCTCCACAGCATCATAGTTATGTGTGTGAAAAATTCTTTTTCCTATAGTTTAGACTATTACTTGTACTAAAAATAAAAAAAGCCAATAAATGATGGGTTTCTTTCTAGTTGTGTCATATTGTTGGAACTATGTTGTTGCTCCTATCACGTGCATATTTGTCTCATTTGTTGACGGTGTTCATGTCCATTTTAAAGATTTATAATGGCACTGACAAACCCAGATTGGATTCCTTTGGAGCTGTCTCTGGGATTTGTCTGTTCAACCAAACAAATTTGCTGTAATCTAGATAACAATCCCTGCATTTTGGCAAATGTTCATCCTGTCGGTATTTTTTTTCTTTCAAAAATCATCCTGTCGGTATTTACAAGCATTATTTACCTCATATTTGATCAAAACCATGTCAGAAAAATGAGGTACAAAATCCACCAGCAGGCTGCTGTTTCAACTTGCAAACTACATTTCAGAGCATGTTGTATTACTATGAGTTTGAACTAAATAGCACAAGTTTTGTACATGACATTATTGGCCACGTGATGTCGATGGCTTATTGTTGTTATCCATTGCCTCAACTAGATCAAAAAGTAAAAGAAAAAAAAAAAGACTTGAAGATACATTTCATATAAAATTCGATGTTTGTGTTGGAATTTGCTTGCATTGCGACTGATAGATAATTCATATTGGAATTCATCCGAAATTTCTATGTGGCCTTCAAAGTTGCAGTTTCATATGATACTGAGATATCCTGCAAAAGAAGATGGAATGATGTCAAAATAAGCACACACTGTTTTGTTAGTGACCATGAGAAACTGTGAGATCTGAATTTCAGCTCCAATTACGTGACCAGACTTAAAACCAAAGAGGGACTGAACCTATCCTGTAAAATCTATTAATTGGAGCACAATATATATTGACACAGATGGATTTCACCATGGAAGCCACAAATACGGCAGCAGTATCCGAAAATGAGACGAAACCAGCTATCGGAACCTATTTACTATGATCTAGTCAAATATGTTGGACTGAATCCTTAGCTGGTTTGTTCTCGTCATTGGATGCTGAAATTCGAAACAAATAAATATATATGCAGAAAAAGATGTAGTATATGGATGCAAACTTGCCTTCAGCAATGCTGTGCTTGAGAAGGTGCATTTTGATGTGATTGCACGTCCATGATCCAACAGCCATCCCACCTCGCTGTAAGTATCACCATCTTTACATTCTTTTAGTGAACACCACAACTGCTTGGGAAGAAATATCAGACCACTTTCATCTCTTACGGAGTTCTGCTCACTGTTGTCTAAAAGTTCTTGAAAAAAGTCCGGTTTATCCTGTTCACATTATATACTAATTAGACCTTGGAGTTACAAGAAATCCAACAAATCAACAACAGTCTACCAAATGGATTGATATGCAATTACGTTGAGGTAATAGCTTCAGGAGAATTCAGCACAAGAATATGTAGACATTTCTTCCTATGGATCAAAACATGGATGTGATTCCCATAGTGGCAAAAGCAAAGAATGAAGTGAACCTCCGCAGCAAGAAAAATCACAAACTTTTAACCAAACAAAAGAATTATTTGAACCTCTCAAGCATACTTATTGAGCACAATAGTCTAATTACGGCACACAATTATGTTCAGGGATTTGAGCTTAATTTGAGCATATCAATCAAAATGTACACACCAAACCAACAAGAGAAGGATTTTCATAACTCACACTTTCCAAACCATAACCATCAAAATTGGCAAGAGCTCTTGGGCCCTGCCAAGTCCCAACAACTTCTGAAGCTTTCAATGCAGCCGTAGAAGCAAAGGCAGAATCCCGGATAGCACACCCGCCTAATTGATCCCCATTTCTGAATGGTCCATACCACTGCTCACAAAACACTCTTGTATTCTGCAGCATCATCTTCATATTGTCTATACGGATGACCTGAATTATTCTCACACGAGACTCCTTATCTTGAGGGTTAATCAAGCAATACTCCAACTCCAACAACTTATTACCCTTTTCCTCAACTGGCCAGACGGCCACATAGCATCCGCTAGACTGATATGCAAAGGCAGAAACTTTGTTATTCACACCACCAATGTTCTTCTCAATGACGGTGTATCGTGTAGCAGCATCAGCTTCACATCCAACTGTGGGAAGTAGCTCTATATTCTTGTACACAAGAATGGGCTCTTCCGGGTTAGCAAGAGTGGGGCATTGAGTCTGCCAATCGAAAACCTTAACCTCCCACTCCCTGTAAGCTCCAGGTACAACATTCTCAGGAAGTTCAATTGGGTTCCCTTCCTTTGTGAAGTCTGCTCCATAGCCATCCCATTCACCGGACACATTTCTGGCAAATTCGGACCACGCTTGAACAGATAAAGAAGATTGATAAAAGAGAAATTGAATTAAATGCATCTTAAATATATCAACTTTAGATTTTAGATTTCACATATATAACATAAAGAATGGAAATTTAACCATCACCGGTCCATCTCTTATCCAATCCTATTTCTCTGATATATATCAAACCAGGTATATAACAACTGACCATTTTAGATTAGCAACATGCAAATTGTTTGGAAATTAACCAGAATTATACAACCCAAATCCAAATAGCTTCATTTGCTCCAAATATTAAGCCAAGATGAAAACTTTTTGCTGCTATAGATACAATCAGATGCTCTTATTTAAACCCAAAAAGCCAAATCCTAAAATAAATAAGCAGAAGCATCACCATAGCTTTTGACTTAGAGAGCTTAGAATAAACTTACCAGTGGCAGAAGTGGAAGTGGGATTGAAGTTGCTGTCCTCCTGAATTTGGAGTTTAACATCAGAAAGGGTGGTGTTGGTGGAGGACGAGGCAGTGCTTTGCACAATTTGAGTGCTTTGGCGACGATTCTGAGGCTGTTGAAATTGAGGGCTTGAAGGCTTTTTAGAAGGCAAAGAAGCGCTTAAGCTCAAAGCTCTGGTGTGGGGGATTATGCTGTTCAAAGCCAATGCCATGAGACTTGGATTTTTCAAATATGCTGTGGGTTATGGTGGCCGTTCTCTGCTCTTATCCTCAGACACAACAATGAAGCTGGGAAAGAAAAGGACACAGTTGTGGCCTTGTTCTTAGTTGCTTGGCTGCACAAACAAGATGATGGAATATTCTTCTGAATCTTTGGCAGTTGGGAACTTAGGAAGCCTGGAGAATCAATGGCACTTTGCAAACGATGTCGTATCATCTGATGTATTTCTGTTATTTTACATTTTGGGCCTCCACAAATTGGGTGGGTTGGAGGTGAACTCAAGCACAACCCAAATATTTTATATATCCCAATAATTATGAGAGGAAATACTTTTTTGCTCAATTGTGAATTTAAACGTTGGTTATGGCTTCGCTTGTATGTGTCAAATGATTGTTTTGCTTACGAGGTGATGGTATATTTGCCGAATATGAAAAACACTATTAGATTGTGAGCCACATCAAGTACCAAACATATAGTGAAAATGACATATTGAATCTTACCTAGAAAATGGACCAAACTCTTTGCCAACCGTATTTTGGTCTCTACTAATTTAGTAATTTTGTTGTCTCATCTTTTACTATACTAAAGTTACAATTGTGATATATTTTAGTAAATTTTTGGACCACATCTATAAACAAAATTAGAATCACATATTCGCCATCTACAACTGTGGTTCAAAATGGTGACGAAGCTAGTAGCTTGTCTTTGGAGGGCCAGTACTGTAGTTTTAAGGTTTTATAGCCTTATATTTCAATTGATATAGCAACATGTGTTTAAGAGTCATTGACTTTTTCATGAAACTTCGGGGGTCACGATCACTGCAAACCTATATGTAGCTTCGTCCCTGATTCAAAATATAGATTACGGTTTCTCCAATGCACCAGAAACCCAAAACCCCAATTTGATTTTTATCCCAAACTCAAACCCATATTCAGGTTTCAATATAACTTTTTACTCACATGCATTAGAGGAAAAAAAGAGATGACCTTTATTATATAAGGTTGACATCTCACTTGGGTTAAAAATGTTGTTCACAATGTAGTGCATACATAGTTTATCTTTAGCATTATTCTGACAAGTTTGGATTAAAATTTAACAAAGTTTGGTTTAGTGCTTATTGGTTGGCATGTTTTAAAATATTAGTCCATCCTAGAATTGGATTGGACTAATATTGTAAAGGATTGAAGGAATAAAAGATTTGATGATCGGCATTTGGCAGCTCACCCATTACCAATTTGACTCTCCAATAGTGTCAACTATTCAGTCGGTGCAATCATGGGATCCATGTGCTGTCTTGGTTTGGTCAAAACTCAAAAACTAAAACTAATTATTTATTAATTTATTTTTCCCCTTTTTTCTTTTATTGGTTTATGTTTGGAAAAAGAATGAGCATCCAAATTTATACACCGACACTTTCTACTTGGTTCAGCTGAAAAGCAAAATCTGGTCCTATAATTTTAAGACCTCAAAATCCTTCAAAACAAATTTAAATTTTTTTTAAACATGACATGAAAACCCTACCATGCAAAATTAGATACGAGTTCTTGGTGACTAGAACAGAGATGAGGCTTCATGGGGTAATCCTTGTCTGTAAGTGTCTG